CCTTCACTCCTCACTCTACTTCGTTCTCTCTAAACTCCTTCACCTTCTCTCACTCTACTTCTCTCTCTAACTCCTTCTACCTCTCTCACTCTACTTCTCTCTCTAACTCCTTCACCTTCTCTCCTCTACTTCTCTCTCTAACTCCTTCACCTTCTCTCACCTACTTCTCTCTCTAACTCCTTCACCTTCTCTCCCTCTACTTCTCTCTCTAAACTCCTTCACCTTCTCTCACTCTACTTTCTCTCTCTAAACTCCTTCACCTTCTCTCACTCTACTTTCTCTCTCTAAACTCCTGCACCTTCTCTCACTCTACTTTCTCTCTCTAAACCCCTGCACCTTCTCTCACTTTACTTTCTCTCTCTAAACTCCTTCACCTTCTCTCACTCTACTTTCTCTCTCTAAACTCCTTTGACCCGGGCGATCTTTTGACTAAATAGATTGTATTGTGGTTGAACCGTTGGGGATAAAGCCAATAGTGACCTGTAAACCCTTGGACTTCGCCATAATGACCAAGGAACCCAAATCTTGCTAAATTCACCTAAAATCGTAACCTTCAATTAGGAAATAACTTTGATAGCCCTTAGAATGTTCATTAAGAAAAGGAGAAGTTTACCCAAAAAATATATCTTAAATTCTAAAATTTTATTTTTCTTTTCATATTCATGATCGGCTAGATGATGAATTCTAAAAAACATTAGATAAAAATTCATATCTAAAATGTATTTTAGAGGGCACTCATATGTACAAAGGAGTCGGCCGATTCACAGAAATCCCATTCGAAAAGAAAATTTGTTTTATACGTTGGGGGACACATTTATATATTTGTGTCTATCTAAGGCATAAAACATCCATGAATGTCACATTGGATCTCAAAAAATAAAAAAATAAAAAAAAATCTTATTTTTCTCTATTTTTAACTGTTATATCTCATTGGATCAAAAAATTAAAAATATTACTTGTGAACAAAAGTACTCCATCTTTTATATCTTCCAAACCCCTAAACCATTTTGATAATGTGTTAGTGACCTCAACAACGTATGAAATAACTCTATCTCTCTCTCACATCATCGTCTCTCTCAAAACTCCATCTCTCACTCTCACATCAAAGCCTCTCTCTCACTCAAAACTCCATCTCTCTCCCTAAAACTCAAACTCCATCTCTATCTAAACCTCCATCTCTCTCACACACATAAGAAAGTATACTCACATTCGAGTTCAAGCTAAACCCCTTGGCGGGTAAAATCATCAAGAAACAAAGAGAGAGAGAGAGATGGAGTTTTAATAGTGTGTCATTTTAGTGTTTATTTGGATAAAAAAATTATGGTCAAATGGATCTAGAGGATTGTAAAATAGAAAATATAGAGAGCTTTTGTTTACAAGTAATATTTCAATTCTTGGATTTCATAAGATATGGAAGTTAAAAATAAAGGATAAGCGATATTTTCTCAA